GCAAAATAAAACTCAGCAATGTTCTCTCATGTGAATTCACCTTGATTGAGTCACATTGAAACAATTCAGATTTTGGTGGATGTTCATGGAAATGGCTTTTCATTATGGATATTCTGAGTTATCCCAAAGATGCAAAATTATTGATCAAATTTTCATCATGGTTTGGCCAACCTTCTTGCAGAACACGCAAGTTTGGGATAGAGCGGGACATTCTTAACTGAACTCTAATCTAAACTGGAGATGAAAATATAACACAATCATCCCCAATCTCCTTTGGTAAACTAACACCTTGTTTTGTGGATATTCATCTTCTTTACCATAAAAGCTTTCAATTTGCTGATGTCAATCTTCGGTTTGACATCTTAACTGTGGAAGACCAGACTCCATGATCTCTCCTTCCATGACTGTATGCACGTTTTTAGGTAGTTGTGTACGTGATCGTCTATCCAAAGTTGTAGACTAGTAGCCCTGGGCCTGGACTCGATCCAGAGAATGTTTTGGTTTACCAGCACGGTTTTATTTTGCTTATTTAAATTAGCGCCAACACTTGAAAATTTGGTGATTCAACATAAAAACCTGCCTTCCCAGATAATCTGACAATGCTGGGACTGCCTCTTTTACACTTATATTATCTTGACAATGAATAGTTCCACTCATTACTCTTTAGATGAATTTTGTGCTTTCGAGATGCCCTCTGTCCAATCGTCTCTCATGTACTGTGCTCATATCTCTCTCTCTCAACCTCTCTCTCTCTTTCTCTCTAATTAAAAAACTGCACTAAACTAGCAACACACACACACACACACACACACACACACACACACACACACACACACACACACATACAGCCTAACTCCTAAGCATTTGAGTTTGGACTTCCTGATCTCTTTCTCACTTTCTTAATAAATACGTAGAGAGATGCAAATACATAAATGTACTACGTTAAACCAAATAGAATTGAACCACAAAAAGGCAATTTTAAATGGCTCAAACTTAATGAAACTGCTTTTATTGTTGGTGCATAGATGAGCCATATGTTTGAAATCAGACTTTTCTCTACTGCAATAACTAAAAGGAATATTTTACTCAGTAATAAAGTATTTTGCTGATTAAATGTGTTTCCACCATTTCCCTTCTGGTACCCTGAAATGCTACGTACCACCTGTCAGGCTTCTACCTCTAAATGCAACCCTTCTCCACAAACCCTTGTTCAAAGTCTTCATCTGCCAAAAGTCTTCTTTGATCCAATTCCTCACTGATTTTTCAAGTTCCTAAATTCATAGCATTTTAAGCTGTATCACATACTTTGCAGCTTAATTTTACACAGTCTTTTATTATTTTCTCTGCCCAGAATTATACAGGGCACCTAAAATCTTTTAAAAGTGGTCTTGGATATCCAAGAACATTTAACACTTGTTGATTGATTGCCTTTTATTAGTAAATTAGTTTGATAACATACATTTTCAAAAAAGTATTTGGAAACTGCCAGGGGATGGGGCACACCTCATCCACAAGGATACCTGCATCATGAACATTTGTATACCTAACCCTGAATTGTACCCTAAGCTTCAAAATAAAAATTTTAAATATGAATAAATAAATAGAAATACACCCTTCTCGGGGGAAGAAATTCACTGAGTAGAAGCCCTTTGTCTACTTTAGATATAATCTTATTTTACTGTTCTTACTATACTGTGGCTCTCGGGTCCTTGTGGTTTAGAATATCAATATCTTTAACTTATGTCACATACAAATTTCATGAAGAAAAATGCATCTGACTAATTTTATAGATTCCTGTCAGAGATGGACTCACTTATTTTTAAAGCTTTTTTATTTTTATAGAAAACCCGAGTATAGAAAACCACAAGCGACAAATAGACAGCTTAATGAAGTATTATAAATTAGAGTTTAGAACGTGACTTTTCTCCATGTTTCTTCAAATTGGCATTTAGATCCAGAGTCTTGATCAGGTTAAGTAGATTAGACCCCTTTGGCAAGACTCTAAAATCTAGTTGTCTCGATTTTATCTCAGCAGTTATTAATGTGTAAGGCCTAGATTCATTCATTCATTGGGGCTGTAAAATAACAGTATTTTAATTGTATTATTTGGGTTTTATTTGTTAGCTAGAATTATATTCTGAGTTCACACCCTCAGAAGTGGCCAGTGTTATTGTTCTTTAAAACCTCTTTATGAATTTATTCATTCGCATATGTTTTATGAGTTTCAGTACATTGTAACTCTTATCTTTTTTTATGCTAGAGCTATCCTCATCTTTGCTCCCTGGATGCCTCTTCCAATGTTCCCCTGAATCCACTTGACATGATTCTATTACTCTTTGGTTGCTTCCTTTCTGTCTAGTATGTCAAGTTGTTTCAGGTTCAATTGCCATGTTTTCCCCTTCAAACTAGGAATCAGCCAGTTTTGCAAGAGCCCTTGTTTCTTATAGTAGGATTTTTTTTCCCCAAAACTGCAGTCTGTATCTTAGGGATGCTTGTTGCTATTAAGTTCATGTTTTTAGACTTCTTAGTGGACAGAGCTAGAAGAGAGAAAAAAAAATCTTTTGAGTTTAAACTTATGTCTTCCAATTCAATTTTAGGAACACAAGACTTTATTTAACCTTTTCTATATTGCATTTGTATGTTCTTTCATCTACACCGAGTCAGGTAGTCAAGGATATAAGGGATAATAGACTTATAATATCTCATGTTCACTTGTTTGCTTTATCCCCTACTAATACATTCGTATTAAAATAACAATAATATAAGTATCACCATCAATAATAATTTTAACCCTATTCTACCTTAGTTTTGTTTCAAATCTTATATATCTATACACATATATATGTATATGTGTATATATGTGTTATATCTTAAATATAACATGTGGCTGTTACAAAACAAAATCTCTTCCTTTAAAATCTCACTTAGGCCGGGCTCGGTGGCTCAGCCTGTAATCCCGCGCCTTTGGGAGGCTGAGGTGAGTGGATTGCCTGAGCCCGAGGGTTCAAGACCCACCTGGGCAGCGAGACCTCATCTCTACAATAAATCAAAAAATCAGCCGGGCATGGTGGCGCCCGCCTGTAATTTCGGCTACTCGGAAGGCTGAGGCGGAAGGGTCGCCGGAGCCCAGCAGGTCGAGGCTGCGGTGGCTGGGAGCGGCCACTGCACTCCAGTCTGGGCGACTGAGTGAGACTCCAACTAAAAAAAAAAAAAAAAAAAAAAAAACTCACTTAGTCTTAGTTAATTATTTGTTATTATTAATAATTTGTTTTTCACCAGTTAGCTATTAGGTCAATATCTCTTCTGATCATTTTGTATGCTTAAAGTTCAGTTTCTAGTAGTTCCAAGGATCGGGGGAACATTATCCCTGATTGCTTGCTAGTTGATCACAATTTGCTTGTTCCTTTTATGTTTAAAGTTTTCTTTGTTGACTATAAGATCCTTGAATTACATTTTTTTTAATGTTAAGTATCCAAAGTTAATTACTCTAACTTTTTTTCTGGCAAAAAATGTTGTAGTTAAAAAAATGTCTGATAATAACCTAATTTTTCCCATATAAATAATATTATTTTTGTCCAGGTTCCTAAAAGATTATTTTGTCAGCAAAAATTTCTTGAATTTTTTAGTCTTTATTCTATTTTTTTCCTTTAATTTTTCTTTCTAATGACCCATATTATGTGCATGCTAGATTTTCCTTCTCTAAATTTAATATTTGTCACTTTCTCTGGAATTCTTTTTTACTCTTTTAATTTAGTTTAGTTTAGTTGTGTTTTTACTTCTGTGTATTTGTTCACCTAGTTACCATTTATTTATGCATTTATATTTTTATTTATATACATTTATTTTTTCAGTTATGTCATCTCATTTCTGAGTTTTCTGATTTATGTTACTCTTTGCCATCTGGCATCATTTTCTTCATGTTGTGTAGTTCATTCTGAAATGGCAAGTTGCAGTTTGGAGTTATTTGTCTTGGGTACCTTTTTTATTTTTGAAAATTTTTGTCTGCTTTTTTGATCCTTTTGTTGTACTCATCTATAGCAATGATATTCTCTTATTTTATTTTTTCTTATAGTGATTTTGGATGTCATTTTACCTCAGTAAATGTTTGTTGCTCACTTTCGTGTGACTTATTTTCCGGCAATCCCAGAAGTTCAAACAGCTCTTCTAAATACTTAGAGTCCCCTTCCTTTTGTCTTTATTCCACAGGTGGAATCTGGTCCGGGTCCTGTTTTCCTATGGGCCCCTGAGCTAAGAATGGTTTTGATATTTTTGAAGAGCTGTACACAAACAAATAGGCATAAACATGTGGGAGAAACAGCATGATGTTCAATAGCTAAAATATTTACTATCTGGGCCTTTTATAGAAAAACTCGTTGACCCCAACACAGACTAAAAACCGTGGCAGCTTACTTTCTGGCATTTCATTGTCATTCACGCCCCCCTACTTTCATCTGGACGTTCTCTCTCCTTCATGTAAATTGTTTACGTCTTGCTCAGATTTCACATAGATTTTCAGTAGTTTGTCCCCAGTTTGGGTCCGGTCCTGGAGGGAACTTTGTAGGTCAGTTCTGGCTGTTCTCAAACTGATCTGCTCTACTTTCCAGCATTGCCTGATAGTTACTTTGGAATCATCCCATTTTCAGGTTTGATGCTTCCTTTCGATCTTACACAGATGCTCAAGCGATCACAGGGCTGTGGTTTGTCCACACTCACGTGTGTTTTGGGGTCTGCAGGAGCATCTCATCAGCCTGTTGCAGTCAATGACCAAATGCTTCCGGTTTCCTACCTGGTGGTCCAGCTACACATGGGGACCCAAGAGGCTCAAAAATCTCCAGTGCCTCCACCTACTGCCACGTTCTTTCCAGACTCCAGCTCACTCATTGTTCAACAACATTTGTTTAATAAATGACACTAAATTTGTTTTTGGAAAAATGTTTACCCCGAGCATTTTCGTACATCAAATAAATCAGCATGTTCATATTGCTTTTGTTTTTCTCCAGAGTCGAGTTCCCATTATGTAATCTCCCTAAAAGCTTTTAACAACGCGGGAGAAGGAGTTCCTCTTTATGAAAGTGCCACCACCAGGTCTATCACAGGTAAGCTGAAACGGGTAATGTGATCCTCCTGTGACAAGGCAGTTAGTGCTTGAGTTATGACGAAAAAAGAAAAATGAAAGCAAACAAAGTCAAACAAAAGACAAAGTAAGAAACCCAAAATGCATGCATGCAGTCACCTCCTGAGCCTTATATATGTGTGTGTATACATGCACACTTCCTATTTTTGATCCCCTAATGCCACCCTTCTTCTGAGCAGCTTGTCACAAATCAATGCTAATTAGGCAGGAGAGTCCCTGCACAAAGGTTGCCAAATGCCCTAGTAGACACTTGCTTCTCTGTGCATGGTTCCTCGGGCTAAGATGACAGAGAAGAACCGACCTCCTGGGGTGGTATGAACTCAGCTGGGTGACTTCCCCACCTGGGACTACAAGTCATCCCAGCAATGCCTGGGGCTCAGGACATTTCAGGGAGTCGCTGACTCAAGGGCTTGTCAACTTTCAGAATCCTTATATGAGTCAGGCATCAAGGCAGCTCAAAAGAGCAAAAAATCTCAAGCTGAGAGAGGACTGGGTAAGATGATGAGATCCAGACCATTGATGGAGGCTATTTGTTAGCAAGGCTGAGTATTTTCAAAAACGGAATAAGTAACACCTCTGTGGACCCTTTAGAGTCACAGGAAGTCAGTTGGCCACTGCCTGCCACCCCTCCATAGGTTTATGCCCGAAATCTCCAAGTCAAACCCAAGAGCTCCATCTTTAATTAATATTTTGAAGGTGCCCCCTCCCCAAAACTACACCCTTCAGACTTCATTTAACTTGTCAGATGTTTTCTCCTTAATAACAATGAAGGATCTGAGCCAGCAAGCGCCAGATTTGATAGCAAGCAAGCACCAGAGAACATGAGACATTGCTGGAGTTCAAAATCTGGGCAAGTAGGCAAAAACAGTTATGGAATAAATAATGGGGTCCTGTGGCTTCTGGTACTGCCCAAATTTATGTTTTCCAAATGCTCAGCTCCATTCATAGACTGTCTTGAGAATACAATTGTTCTGTAAATTCACAGTTGTCATGTGATATTTTCCAGATTCTACAATTGCTCGATTAATTTCATGATTTTCTTGTGAAGCAAAGTTGCTAGTCTAGTGTCCTATGATCATTGGCCATTGCTTTTGGGGTCTAAGATCTGTCTAATTTGGGATGCAAAATTTTGAGCACATGTCAAAATATTCATTTATCTGTGGAGACATTATATATCATTTATTGTATCTTCAAAGGGGTTCTTGACTCCTCCAAAAGGGTAAATAGTTACCCTAGAGAATATTTACTCTCAGATATGTTATCTCCAAATGTAGGGTGATGAGTAAAATTGAATACTAGGATGAAAAGTAAGAGACAACGTGATGAATGGGTATCTGGGATTTGTGCTCTTATTCTGTTGCGTGGCCAGCAACAAGATGTCAAGGTTTTCAGAGAGACAGCAGCCTGTACTGGCGTGTCTCATAATTTCTATTTAGGAGGTAAGTCATCTTTATCCTGCCTGTGGTAAGAAGTGCCAAGGAACAGCTCATTGCCACGATATCTTTGAGCTTGTGACCAGGCCACACAAAATGATACTATGGCCAGTCTCTTAAAGCTCTTCTCTCACCGACACTAAAACCTCCAGTAAAGGGCCACTGAAGTGGCAAATAAAAACCAGCTTTCAAACAAAAACTCATAAAGGTGTAGAGTTCGAATAAACTGAAGGTAAGTTGCTCAGTAAGAGCCATGTGCAGTCATCTCAACTTCTCTCTCCTTAGCATTTGCTGTCATTCTTTAATTCTCAGCAAATGGCATTCCCAGAGTGGTTTCTAGCATACCAGTGACTCATAAGATGATAATTTTCCTGATATGATTTGAATCCTAATGGGTCTGATAAATGCAATAATACCAAAAGATGGAAGTTGTGTGATGTTTTTCTATTGAAGAAAAGCCAGTTAAGAGGTCAGAGAGGAATGCATGAATCCAGACCTTAACACATAAAAATAATGCATTTTTCTGGAAGTGGAATTATTTTATTGTGTTTCTACATGTCATGGAGAACAAAGGACAAATAAATGGAATCAAAGGTTAAAGTTCTGGAAAAAACTCTTATCACTACATGTGTCAGTGTCATGCAGCTGACATCCTTGTTTCTAAGCTTCTGCAAAGTATTCCTATGAGCAGTCTTGGGGAAAAAAAAGGCTTGTGTAAAGGACATGCAAAATATACTCCATGCCATGAAAAGCTCAAGTGAGATGAAGCACCAGGTTTTGACGCTTTCTACAGGCATGTCCTCATAAAGGTTGGTGAGCTTGGAGTCTCATTTCACACTGGGACTATCAGTATCAGAGGTGCTGAAAGTTTCACCTGGCCAAGTGCATTAAGAGCTTCATTTTTGCTGTAAAGCCTTTTATTTCTTGTTGCAAGAGCAAGATGTTTTAAGCCTGGGAAAGGGAAAAAGACAAATAAAAACCAGGTGAATAATGAAACATGCTGTCTGTTTTGCTTTCAATTATTTTATCGATGTTTAAATGAGGTACAATTCTGTTGTAAAATTGCATTATTATTTTTAAAGTTCATTTTGATCTTTAGTATAATGACTGGAAATTCATATGTTCTTGCTAAAATGTCTATTAGACGTTGAATAAGTTTATGTTCTAGCAAAAGTTTTGAGGCTATATTTGGTCTCTTTCTCTTTTTCTTACTTGTTTTTAGTATGTAACCACCCCAAATCAGCAGCACATAATGCAGCCAGAAGTAGGAAGAAAGAAAAACTGAGAGGTGTTTAGCAGTAAAATGATATTGTAAATTCAATATCCTAAGTAGTTTCTTACTTAAGAAAAAAAGACCATTGGCAATATAAATAACATGTATTCATGGAGGTGCTTGCTGTCCACTAGAATGTTCTGCTTTGCTGGAAATGCTCTAGATACCTGTGCCATCCAGTGTGGTAAACACGAGGCACTTGTGGCCATTGAACACCTGAAATTAGCAGAAGTGAAATTTATAAAATTTTATTTAATTGTAATTCATTGGAACTTGAATATTTCATAAAATCATGGCTGTTGTATTAGCATGGTTCTAGAGGAAGTGACCCATAGAATGGCAAGTCACACCTGGAAGAAAAATCTCCTAAAATAGGCAAGACAAATTTGGCTAAGAGTAAACATTTCTAGGTTGTGTAAGCCCATTTGTAAATACCAAAAAATACTATGCTTGAAATTTGAGAGAATCATTCTGGAACCGACTCCAAGAAACTCAATAACAATAGTCATGAATAACATACTATTTTAAAATCAGAAATGGCAGGGATGGCTATAATCATTCCTCGAAGAGCAATCAGTATATTTCAAAACTTATATAGGGTATCTCTGAAAAACTATAAAGTTAATATATGTCTGGTGCCAGAACTGGATTAAGCAAAGACACAACAAAGAGGGTAACCCACCGATACAAGTAGGTCAAAAAGTGAGTTTGTAAATTAGAATATTTGCCCCGTGTGTATAGCATTTTTCTTGTAAAGCCAGGTAAGAATAGAAACAAGAAGTGCAAGGCAGCACCTGCTTTAATGTGGAAAAAACATCTCCCATTGCCTCACCAACCCGGTGAATGATTGGGATCTTTATGGAGCCTGCAGTGTCTTCGGTTCCCGTTCATCCTTTTGTAGATCCGTTTGGGTTTAAAGAAGCCCTTAATAAAAAGAGACATCAAAGGAAATACAGAAAATCTGGGCTCTATCATTAAATTTTAAACACACATTTCACTCTCAATCTCTTTCTCTCTCTCTCTCTCTCTCTCTCTCTCTCTCTCTCTCTCTCTCTCTCTCTCTCCCCCTCTCACTTTCCTTTTCTTTTCTTTTGTTCTGGTTTTATTTATGGTTTTATATTTTGCTCCAAAGAATCACAGACCAGTAAAGTACTAGATAATTCATTGGCAAACAGAATGAGGACTAGGGAGGGGATAGGCATTTGGAAGGCAGTGGACAAAGTGAAGTCATTGTCAAAATCAGCCAGCAGCTGCTCCACTGTGAACCAGGCTGTTTAAAAAAAAATAAACTCTGCTACGCTGCTACAGACACTCAGCATTTTAGTAGGTCTTGTTTCTCCAAATGTCATCATATGCCTAGTCTGAGGGTTGTGTTTTCACATTTTATTTATTTATTTTTTGCTATTGAGAATACATCATACAAAAGTAAGCATTTTTAAATGTCTTAAGTGCAAAATAAAATTCCTAAAATTGGACTATTACTATGGCCACAAAATAAGCATCTCTGAATCTCTGATTCTGATATTCCCAGCAGGAAAATGATCACAAGATTTTGGGGGGAAATTTTATAAACATACACAGGCCATTTTGTGGATTCCCATTCTGTTATGGATCAAAGCCGTGTATATACCTCAGGGCAAATCCCATCCGCTTGTAGGTAATTCATACTGTTTTCCCATTCAATAATAGAAAGTTTCTTCATCAAACTCGAAGGTTTAGAAGCAGGATGTAGGATGCAGGTGTCCCTCCACAACTAAAAACTTAGCTAATTACTCCGTGGGAAAGTGGGTACAATCACATCCTGTATTTCCAGTTAGGATTCCAATCTAAGAAAGCCTGGCACAGCAAATGCCACTGACAACTAATTATCAAATAGATAGTTGCCCCATGTGACCATGTGTACCTGGTCACTCTAGCTTTGTGTAACCACAGACATGCACAGGTTGTTGTGGATGCCGGGGTGCTTTGTTTATGGTTCATTTGATTCTCGTCTAAAAAAAAAGTGTGTCCAGTTGTAGGGTAAGCCATAATGGGAGCATTCGAGAAATCCAATCAAGCTAGAGAAGGAGGAGAAAAAACAGATATTGAAAAAACATTTATTTTCTTTGTAGGAAGAAATAAACCAGAAACCCATTTTTATCTTGCTATTTTTTAGTTACATGCATTTATGAATAACAATAATGAATTCTATACTAGATCTTTTAGGAAGCAATGTTCAGCATTCTCCCCCAAAATAAACTTTTAAAAGATGTAACTGTAAATAACAACCAAATTGATAAAACCACTCTACGGGCTTATAGGAAATATTCAGTTGTTTTTGTAATCTAACTGTACTATTTCTAGTGTGATTTCTGATTGAATTAATGGCATTTTTTTCTGTTCTTCTCATGTTCCCTTTCATCATTATTGCCATGCATTTAACTCATTGTGATGTGTTGCCACTGATCTTTATTTTTAACGCTTTTGTTTACGTATTTATTTGTTTCATCGGGCGGGTTTTTAAACCCAGATCCCACTGACCCAGTTGATTATTATCCTTTGCTTGATGATTTCCCCACCTCGGTCCCAGATATCTCCACCCCCATGCTCCCACCAGTAGGTGTGCAGGCTGTGGCTCTTACCCATGATGCCGTGAGGGTCAGCTGGGCAGACAACTCTGTCCCGAAGAACCAAAAATCATCCGAGGTGCGACTTTACACTGTCCGGTGGAGGACCAGCTTTTCTGCGAGTGCAAAATACAAGGTGAAGTTCTAACTGATAGCAGGCGATTTAAGATGAACTGTCCTTTATTTAATATGTTGTTTTCGATGCTTCCTGGGCTGTCATGAGTCATTTTGCTGCCATGACTCTGTGTAGAGAAACAAAGCATTTTTAATAACTCAATACCTAAAATTAACATGAGAATAGCTGTATTTTAGGAAACAGTTTTAAGGCAAAGTAGGAAAACATCAAGAACTGTAAAATGTTATTTGAATTCTATCAGATGCTGAGTTTGTGTAAGTAACTCAATTCTGTGCAAGGGAATGCCATTTTCTCTTGTAAATAGCTGAGATCCATGTTAATTTTCTGAATAGATTTTGGTACATATTTTTTTTCATTTGGACCCTGGATTTACTCCAAAGGCAACTCTATTAATGTCACAGAGGCCCATGTTACAGAGCATATAACTGGAAATAAATAACTTGATATTTTTTATAACATCCTTAACACTCTAAGCCATTGACATCTACTTCCTCATTCAGCCTTGGAAACACCCTCATGAGAATGCACCACCCACACTCCCCTTTAGCTAATGTGAATTCCACCAGCCCTCTGTTCCTGTCCTTATCACAGAGTCATCTCACAACACCTTTAAGAACTCCTTAAGGATATATATTTGAGGCATTGCCATTACCACTTTCAAAACTCTATCAGCCAGCCTCAGGAATGTCTATACTGAGACAATTCTGTTACTTCCTCAACCTGCTGCAGTGTTAGTATATATAGACAATACCCAAATGTAGATAAAAATGAGAAGCTCAACAAGTGATTATCAAGAACCTACTGTGTACCTAGAAGTGTACTAAGAGAACATGGGTTCATTGTTGTTACTTAACCAATTATGTGTAATTTGGGAATGAGTTATACCCTCAGCTCTATAGATATACTTGAAATAGTTCATAAGTCATTTGAGAGACAAAATGCATTAAAATACATTTAAATCTTAAAGCTTCACAAGATGATGCTTGGGGATGAATAAGGGAGCTTTGAGAATAAGAGCTTAAGTGTCACCCAACAACCAAGGAATCAATCGTTCAACTCCGGCACTCTGGTTTCTTCATATTCACCTTTAGGCCTTCTTTTTATTACTCTACCGGGGTAGCTCTTCGGGGAAAATTTGGGTCTCCTGACACTTTAGCTAATGGACTTTCCATTGAGTTACCTTTCCCCTGAATCCAGCCTCAAGCCAGTGGTGATTTGAAGGGATGTAAGTATTTTGCGGGAATTTCTGACTCCAACCCTGGAGCTATCACAAAATTCCACCAATAATTTCTGCAAGTGTGCCTTTTTTCTTCCTGGAGCCATGCTGGATCTGTGCTTCTAGTGTCTTTCAACTTTTAAAGGGCATAGCATTCACATTTCATCATAAATCAGGTTTTCGTTGAAACTATTTAAAAACAGTTTTCTTTGGTACTGCTGCCCTGCTAGCTGAGATATTTGGAAAAACTCTCCAGGCAAGTCCAAATAATATCACTGATATAAGATATGTTGTAAGTACCCTATCCATCTCCTTATAGTACTAGATTTAAGACTCAGCAGAACCATAAATAAAGATAACATTATCAGAAAAGACAGCCAATGAAACATATGAGAACATTAAGAACTTCCACTTTATATATAGATTACACAATTCTCTAAGTTTACTTTTAAAAGACTACTTTTCACACTTTAAAAATTTTATATCATAATTGTTGTACTTTGCAGATACATTCATTTCACAGAATGACCATGACTACTTTGCTAGAATGTGAAATGTTCTAAGGGACAATGATTGTTTTCTGCAGGATGCTTTGAGTTCCAAAATTTCTTGAGGCACATTATTTCAGTTGAACAGTATAGCAGACATTGAATTTTTGATCTCACAAAGAATGCCTGTGAAGTGAGACACTCAACCTTAAAAGATTCTAACCGTTCTCTTCCCTTCATCTTCCTTGACACAAGGCTTTCACTTACGAACATACTATCCCCTACACACACACACACACACACACACACACACAGACACACACACACAAAGTCTCTCTCTCTCTCTCTCTCCCCATCCACCCTGAGATGAGAGGAGAGTTAGAGAAAAAGAGTTGTGTTGTGTAAGTTGAGTACTGAGAACAGTCATACAACATATAAGATGTTTTGAATTTGCACTTTGTACTTTTCAAGCCACTGGCATATTACTTCATCTCAATTCCTGGTACAGCTTTAAAAGGTAGGCAGGACATATAAGACAGGAAACAAACAAGCAAACACAAATTCATGGAGTCAAAAGACTTTGACTCAAGAGTTGGCTTCGCTATGTATATGTCCTGTCATGTCACTCAACTGGTTCAGTCTCATATTTTTATCTGTATGGTGTATTCATACCTACTGTAGAAAGAATAAGATAATTTTCATAGTTAAGTCCTCACGTTTGCATATTTATGAAGACTTAGGTAGGTGGTATAACTTGACAGAAGTTCCCCATTTAAGTAGAGATGGATCTCAGATGACCCAATAGCATCACCCAGGACCCTCCCCACAGAATCACCTTGCTAATTTTTTTGGTGCCAAATCAGGCCATAATCCAGACACTCGGATTTTGGCTATCCTAAACTCTGTATTAACTTTTTGGATTAAATGGGCACATTTTCTGTTACCTCTTTCCTGCTAAAGTGTCTAGTCACATGATGTTTTGGACAAATTTCCGTTCAAAATACATACCTTGACTGTTGTCTAGTGTTTACTGGATACAGCATGGGTCTTGCAAAGGATACAAAATTGTGCAGGACTCAGTTTCAGCCCTCAAAGTGCTCACAACTCAATAGAGAATTTAATACATGTATAAGATTAAATATAACATGAGACCGAGTATGACATATTGTAGCTAACATTTATTTGATGCTTCTCCAGGCCAAACACCATGCTTTACTTGACTTATTTTATTTCGCATGTCAAATAATGCTGTGAAGTCAGCACCTTGGTTATCTCTATTTTATAAATGAGGAACCTGGGACCCAGAGATGTACTACCTGGATATTCTATGCTCAAAAAAAATAACTGGCCATGACTTTTCAAAGCAATTGTAGGCTTAATGATTTAAGATAAGCAGTAGCCACCCACGAGGTTTCAGAGAAAACTCAGTGAATTCATGGTACTTACAGAATTCAAATGTGTCATCCTAGAACATAAGCAAAGTTGATCTTGCTTGTAGCTTCACCAATGCCAGTGTTGTCCATGCTCAGAGATGGGTTTTATCGAGATGTGAAGACCTTTCCCACTTAAAGTCCATTTCTCCCTTTATTTCTAAGACTTAGAGGTGTTCATGATTGTGGAAGAGGGCAAAATTGGAAGTTACATATCAGCATGTCTGATATTAGCTGCCCACTTGGTGCCTTATTTACTGGAATTGCATCTTCCTGATGATACAAAGAATTATTTTTAAATTTATTTAAGATACATATTTTTGCAGCTATTTTAAAGAAGAACTGATAACTTTTTTGAGTTTATCACCTTAATAGGATGGATGGACATATCATCAAAATATTATTAGTTCAGTTAATTTTTTTTTTTAGTATGTAATGAAAGGTAAGGTTTTTGTGGCTTTAACCCACATAGTAGGTTAAAGGATTCATAGTAGAATAAAAAAGTATCCCATCCTATGGTAGCTAGGGAGAGATAGATATGAAATGAGTGGGAAGAAGAGGCTTTTTAAAAATATTCTAGATATAGGTATATAATAAATGCAATAAGTTTAAAAGTCTTTAACTTTGAAGAAGAAGATCTAACCACCAAGCACAAATTGATGGTTATAAGAGGTATAAATAGTCTCAAATTTGCTTTAACTTGAGAGACTAACAAGTTTTTTTCCATACCATTTTGAATTTTTGAGTAAGCAATGAAGACATAAAATTTACTTTCTACTAAAATATCTCCAACTTGTTGTTTACAAGATAAAAAAATGAGTTCAGAAGACACAAATAACACTAATACAGTTTTGTACACATTGAAATCCTTGTGTTCTTCCAACTTGTAGTTCCTTTCCTGATCAATTGCTCCAGTTACTACACTTCAATTTTTTTTTAATGTGAAGTGTGCACAAAGAAAGAAAACCACATAACACAGCATCGTTATCTCATTTTCTCTCTAAGAGTTAAACAGATTTTGGAAGCAATAAACATTAAAGCCCTTTTTAAAAACATGATTTGCAGTAGAACTTTAATAAATTACTTTGCTACCAGTGTAAAGTGATAATGTTGGTCTGTGTAAAACATACAGTATTAAAACCTCCAAATAAATTTAAGTTAAGGTTAGTGCAGACAACTTCAAAAGTAAAGTTGACAGAGGAAGTGGAATTTGTCCTTTCGCTGTGATTATTGCCTCACTTAGGAAAACTGATCAGCTAGCGGCCCCTTTGGACAACATAATGCCCGATTTTATAGGTACTATTTTAGGTGTACGATCAGCCAATAAACTAGGTTGAAAGAAGGGAAGTAGGGTCAGTGCCATGCCTAGCTCTTCTCTTGTTTGGAATTGGATAGTATTTTTCCATGTCTTCATTTATAAAGTTGACAGAACTCATTTTTTCTCTTTGTTGTTTCCCATTTGTACAGTCAGAAGACACAACATCTCTAAGTTACACAGCTACAGGCCTCAAACCAAACACAATGTATGAGTTCTCGGTCATGGTGACAAAAAACAGAAGGTCCAGCACATGGAGCATGACAGCACATGCCACCACGTATGAAGCAGGTAGGTGAGGAAATGTCTACTTTTGACGTTCGGTAGCAATGCTTCCCATGTTCAGCAGAAATGAAAACGTACGTCACTGTAGGATTTCAATTATACCTTATCCGATATAAAACATGAGGGGAAACCAAAAACAACAACCTGAAATTATCTTTTGGAGGGTGGGCTCCTTATAGTACAGGCTTCCCCCACTAGGTAAGTGTTCTAGGAACCCATCAGAATCAGTAGACCAGCTAGCGTTGTTGTGAGAGGCTGTGTTCAGCTTCAGCGAAATTGTTCTTGGAGATTTTGTTAAACGTTTTTGCCCAGCTCATGACTGATGATTTACCAGCACATCTGCTCACACCGTGCTGAGTGTTCAGCAGTTTTTTTCCCCCTGGATGAAAAAAAAAACTCATTAAAGAGAAGTATTTTGCTGATGTGGAAGAGGTGAAACAAAAATTGGCAGAAGCATGAAAAGGCTTCAAAATTGACAAGTTCAAAAATTGTTTTGAGCTGTGGATAAAGCATCTCTATAGGTGTATTATATTGAACAGAGAGTAAAGAGAGCTTAAATATGTAAGAATAAATACATAATGTTTTATATATTAATTCCATTTTTTGGTTCCATCTGTGTATTTTATTCTTTATAGTTTCTAGTACTTTTATATCTCATAGTATTCTTCTCACTCTAGAGAAAAAGAAAATGAGTCTCCAATCGATTAAAGAATCTGGTTGCATTATTAATATATAGCTTCTTTGGGATGAGAACTCAGGGGATCTGCATATAAATAGTCTTTTCCGTACATTTAAGAGAATAAATCCATCTATTGAATTTTGTCCAAAATAACCGTGTCTTTGAACAACAATCATGGTAGGTATTTGCTATTTTGAAATAAATTAGATACAAAATAAAACATTGCATTACAACTGGTCTCATGCCTATTTACCCAGAATAACCACAACTGGGTATGAGAAGAAGTTTCCAGGTGCTCTTTTTCAGTCTTTGGAAATGAGGCAACATAATGGAAAACCTTTATAAAATTCAAAATAGGTCAAATCTAGGAAAATGCAATTCACTGTAATTTTTACCAGTCACATTTACTGCACATCATAAATGTAGCATTTATAACCTTAACAAGGATGCAGTGTTCTTGACATTTATAGTTCACAGAAATTCAACATCTCAAGAATTCAGGGCTTCACGTACTTCTTGATTGATTTCATGATATAACATTTTTGTGGGCAAACTACATCACTCATATTTTCAAATTAAGACAAATTATGGCAATAAAGTTCTTCTCTGGGCCAGTTGATTTTCTCTTTCCATTAAAATTTGTCCCATGGCATTGCAGTTCTAATTTTTATTGCAGACTATTATCTTAACTATTATCTTAACTATTAGATAACTATTGGATAACTACTTTCAACAAAAAGTTTTCTAGTTGGTCTAATTTCATATTAACACCATCTTCTTCTATTTTACATGTTTTACTTATATTGACTTTTCATCTCAAAATTCTACTGTGGATGCCAATGTCCACAGCTTCTTGGAAAGAATAAAACCAGCTGGATGAATTATATACTATGAAGGAGACCAAAGAATCTTTTCTTCCATTTTACTTAAAAGAAGATAGCTGTAGTTAAATGTGAACTAATAAGAAATCTGATCTTTCCTAAGTGAAATAGAAGAAGTAACACTTTTATCTTAATGCAAGCAAATTCTTTCATTTTTTTCCCTCTCATAAATGAATAATGCACACCAACATCTGACTGAATAAATGCACCCTACTGATTTCTTATCAACTGCCCAGCCTTGTAGGAGCACCAATGGTGAGACCCATATCTGACAGAACGATATTAACTTTTAGAAATGTGGTTTACAGATTAGACATGTGGTTCATAGAAACGGTGATTGTCAAATCAGATAGTAATCTGGACAAAGGTGTAAATAACATGTGGATAAGATCCCTGGGTGATGATGAGAAGCAAAAAGTAATTCACAAGTGTCTACAGACTTTATAACTGTGAGAAGGAAATGAAGTGAATAAAATAACTCTAGGGTTTGCCTCTTATTCTGCAGCTGGATAAATACTGTCTAGGGTTACACTGTTATGTGCTGATGGCTCATTATAAAGATAGAGGTAGCTGGCAAATTTTTAAAATAAAACATTTCATTCTGTCCAGATGATGAAATCTTCATTTTATTCTGACTAACTGAGGTATAATAAAAATAACGGAGGACAGCTTAAATAATTAGGCCTTGAAGAAGGAGTAGAATCAGTATAATTTCTCCCGGGCTTTAGAAATCCCTTCAAGAGGTTGCCATCACAATGGTTTGACTCCATTTGTTGTTTTTGTTTTTGTTTTGTCTTGTATCAAGATTCAGTTTCTCAGAAGATAGACTCTTGTTGGCAATTCTTGAGATAAGTGATCACACAACTAAAGAGAAGCTGGAATGAAGAACATCAAATTCCTAATTGATGTTGCTACCAAAATCATATAATACCTAGGAAAGCTTGTTTTCCAAAGGAAAAAGCCACGTGCTTCCTTAAAAGGAAGCAAAGAAGATGGGATACTGAGAAGCCCAAGTAACAAATGCCCAATAAAAATCTCCCTGGCCAAAATCTTCTAAATCTTGAATATGACCTTCCATTGATGAACTTACTAAAGAAATTTAGGTGTGGAGAAAATTGATTGAGAGCCAGAGAATTCAGAGGGCAGTGCTTGTCTAGTGAAACAAGGTATTAATTAAGGGTTTTTGATAGTGTTCATTTATAATCATCAGGTCTTGAGATAGGTGCTTGGTATAAAAGGTGGGGAGAATATAGTCCATGTCTTTGAGATAATTGTAATCCTATAAAGAAGAAAAACATTTTTTTCATAAATCCTGAAGCAATATGAAAAATATAATCACAAAATTTTGGACAAGTTGACAAGTTGAAATCAGAGCAAATAAATATGGAAAAATAAGGGGATATTTCACAAAAGTGACATTTGAGGTATGGCTTGAGCAAACCATCAGGTGTCCCTTCCAGAGACTTGCTAAGGATGGGAGTCACGTGTACAAAAGTACTCATACAGACGTCATAAAGATAATGTGTTAAGAAACACTTAAGATTGATTCAAAGTGACTGGAATACAGTGTTCATGAGACAACAAGGGAAAAGGAGGATATAAAAGAAAGTAGAATATGAATTCTAGAGGTCCTGGTATTTATTTTTAGTTTTTATATTTAATCCAAAGAGAAATTCTAAAAAGTAGAATTTCTAAAACTCACTCCAGATAGAATTCATAGCTTGAAGAAGAGCAATCTAGAAGTATTCTACTTGGTAGGGATCACTGAAACTGTTAGGGCCATATTATTTTCCAAGTATTAAGAAGTAATATGAAGCTAATAAGATAATCCTGAAAATTCGGGCCATTCATGCTAATACCAGATTTCATATTCACTATTATTCACATGGCTTGAGAAAAAGGAATTCGCACAGCACCTGAAACAGATTAGTTGTTAGATTTGTCTTATTACATAACCAACTTTTAATGTATTTTGATAACTAAAGTCAAAGAGTCATTTGATTATTTTTGAATACATAACAGATGCAGTGATGCAAACTAATCATCATCATTTGACTATTTTCTAAATAAACTTCAATTTGAATTTTAGTGCAGTTAAGAAAAAGCAGGCCATTAAAAAGACAGATCTGCTAATTGCTTCCATAATTGGAAAATTTCTTATTATATTTGGTGTACTAATCTAAATTAGTTCATCACTACATTTGCCTTCCTATCTGAGGCTGAGAAAATAGTTTGAATGAACTCCCTGTGAGAATACTTCTTTGAGATAGCATTGCCTTTTGGCATGTTGCTAGAAAAAAAATCTGCTTTTCTTGCAAGAACATCCTGTTCTGGTTATATTAAACCATAGAGGTAGGTAGGTAGATGATAGGTAGATAGATAGATAGATAGATAGATAGATAGATAGATAGATAGATAGATAGAAAGATAGAAAGATAGATAGACAGTTGATAGTCTCTTTATTCAGGTAGCATGTACACTGAATCTGTGTGTTCTCCTTCTTCTTACCTTATTCCTCCTCCTCTTCCTTCTTGTCTTCTTGTTCTTTCCCCTTCTACTTCTCTTCATCCTTCCTCTTCTCTTTCTTTTTTCTTAATGCATAAATATATTAAGTACCTTGTTGAGATCTCAAAATTTAGTGCAAATTTGGTTGACCTGGAATCCCAGTGTCTTTGAGCGTTGAAAATAAAATGATATGATGGCAATGATGGGTGTTTCCTCCATTTGGCTTATGTTGAGAACTCAATTCAGGAGAAATACTGGAAGCAGAGTATTGATAACGTACAGACTGCATCACATGACCAACAGAAAGATCAAAGAGACTTGTTAGAATGAAGATGAGTTCAGAATTGGACACTGGATGCTACTTATCTTGTGATCCACAGTATTCTTATGTGAAGATGAAGACATTCCTCCAGAACCCAAGCATAGAACCCAAATGTGCTCTGAATCTGACTGTGTCAAACTAAAGGTGACAAACAGACTGGGAATAATAGATTTGGGACATTGGGAGCTACCTACAAGGAAAACTGCCTTCCAAAGTAGAGAGAGTGAGAAAGAAGGTGGCAAGAAGCCTGGAAGATACTGAACTAGCCTGGCCAGTTTGCTGACACCTTTAAAATATATTTAACATTTTCTGGAGCACAACATGTGGTGCCAGTAGCTCCAAGGAGGGCAGAGCTTTATGCCATCTTATTTCATGCCAGATTGATTTTTGTTTTTACCTTCTCTATTTTAGTTTCTCACTTTGGCCTTCATGTTTAGAAGATACTTAATATGTCACCTAAGCAAAATGTTTTGACCTTTTAACTCATTATTTTCTTTTTGTTTTATTTTGGTTTTTAAGGATGTATAGAATTGGGAGGCATTTTTATTTATAAATCCTGCTTTCTAACACAATTTTGTATCTTGAAGACACATAGACATCAATCTCACTAAGTATGTACACATTTCTTTGTCCTGGTAATGATTCTTTTATTTTTAATGTGAGCCCCCTTGAAAATACCAATTGTACCTTTCTTCCTTTACATGCATACATATTCTTTTCTCCTCTTGACAGTCATGTGTATATTTAAAGTTATGTAACTTTCATGGAAACCATTAATTTTATACCTTGTGTGCTTATTTAATTCAAATCCTTGAAATAGCTTGTAAATGGCAAAATAAGCGTGCTGCACTTCATGACAGATTCTGAGTGTGAGCAGCATGACTGAATGTCCCACCGCTGTCTGTTTTCTTTCACATCCAATGACAAGGCCTTGTCTCTGTCTCATCTCACAGCCCCGACCTCTGCGCCCAAGGATTTGACAGTCATTACTCGGGAAGGGAAGCCTCGCGCTGTCATTGTGAGTTGGCAGCCTCCCTTGGAAGCCAATGGGAAAATTACTGGTAAGCACCTCTGTGTCTTTCCCAGGGTAGCTCTGTAATTGCTGTACCTGGTGTCCTGTAATTGCTTACCTGGTCTGTCATTGCTTACCTGGTGGTCTGTCATTGCTTACCTGGTGTCCTGCCCCTGCCTTCTGTGTGGTAGTGTTCTGTCTCAGCATCTCAGTTGACTCCCTGACCCTCTCTGATGGTCTCTTCTTGCCCCCCCGCGGACTGTGGAGTTCCTCTAATGGCTCATACAAATACACACACGTACACGTTTCATTCGTGTTACTTCATGAAAGCTGTGTCTTTCGATGAGGACAGACTTTTTGTTTTAATTCTATGAAGCGTCAAGGCCACCTTCTAAGGGAGTGCCTTTGAGAATAAGTGACTAGCTGGTTGTTTGACCATTATGAAATGCAAGAGACGTTTGATGATGATTTTTTTTCTTTTATTTTTGTAAGGCACATATGAAGGAGGTTTGTCCGGGAATTTTTGGTTTCTCATGCAGCTTTTAGCTTCTTACTTAAATCATACGGTTCACAAAACACTTAATATTGACTGACAAGAATTGAACATAATGAATATTTCACAGTGACAGATTTTATTTTGCCAAATATTGCTGATAACATCAATGCCTAATTAAAGCATCCATTAGAAGCCTGTAATGTTAATTTGGTATGAAAAATATAATGGAGTTCTATCAGATATTTTGCATTTAAATGATCACTTTAGGTTTTTAATAGATGTCTCCATAGCATATAATTATTATGAAAAATATTGTATAACTCAAAATGTGCACATTATAGTCTAATTAACTTGAACCATTGGGTTAGGAACATGTAAGAGTCAGTCCTTTTGCCTTCTTTTGTGCATACAAGAGGTAGATAGCACTATTATAAATTAGCAAAGTAATTCAGTCATTCTGCGATACAGAGATAAACACGAAAATTGCAGTGTCAGGCGGCACACTTACTTTACGTGAGTTACTTTCTGGTTTCTGCAAAATGAAAAGATAATGCAAAAATTCCAAATGTGATTGAAATTTAGGTTGAAGATTTGTTTTCTCTGGGAAATTGCTCTTAGTGCAATAGCAAACAGAAATTTCATTTGAGTTGACAAACATGAAAAAAAGCAGAGAGGCATAAAATCTCTCCACAATCTTATATGATCACTTGTCAATGTGCCAGGCCTTTTAAAATGGAGGCTGCCTCATTTCAACTCTCTTTTTTCCTTCTCAGAGTTACAACCTATTTCACTGGTTCTGTGACAGTCCTTGTCCTGCTTTTGATTTGTGTATATTTTATTTCATTATAGACATTTATAAGTATATGGTAAATTAACTCATATTAAGTTTGAGGAGAAAAAACAATAAATGTTGTCTAAGTAAAAGCAAGTTCTGATAGAGAAAATATGTTTTTATTGCAGAATCGAGGTCTTGCCAACTTGCCCAGGCAGGTCTCAAACCCCTAGGCTCAGTCAATTTTGCAAGACCTCACTTTTATAATTGAAAAAAAAATAAAGAGAAAAATAGCCAGGTGTGGTGGTACATACCTGTACTTCCAGCTACTTGGGAGGCTGAAGCAAAAGGATCATCTGAGCCCAGAAGGTCAGGGCTGTGGTAGCTATAAGTATGCTCCTGCACTTCAGCCTGGGCAACAGAGTAAGACTTGGACTCAAAATATACATATATATTTATTTTTGTAATAATATATATGATTTAACTTGCCTGACAAAACCAGTATAGAAAAATATAGGGGCTCAAAATTATTAACTTGCCTGACAAAACCAGTATAGAAAAATATAGAGGCTCAAAATTATTAGATTTTCAATGAGAAAATAAACCTAAGACTTCTATTCATTAAAATATTATTCTAGCTTTTATTTCATAATGGAATAAAGTGAAAAAACAAACAACTTTAAACATTTTTAACATCAAATTTAAATATATATACTTTTGTGTTAATGACAAGGTGATTATTACTCTAGTTTCACCTATAACTATACATAATGTGATCAAAATTTGATGAAGCTTAAATAAAATTTTAACTTAGAGAAAAAAAGATACTAATGTGAAACATCTTTCAAAGAACACGTTCGTGAATTTTTACGTGTATGATGTCAGGTATAAAAGCGTGCATTTATGTTCCATTGGATATTTAAAGATGTGATATACTACTTGACTTTAAAACTGACTATATTTATAATACTGTATATCCTGAATGCATGTTCAGCAACTATGGAAACATATCAAAAAATTATGTATCAACCTGGAAATACTTGAGAAGGTACAGAGCTACCTGAAGATAATGCAGGTACAATTCCAGACCAGTGCAATAAAGCAAATAACTCAGTTTAGCAACAAATGTTTTTGATGAAGGATAAAATAAGCCATGTACCTCACACATTTAAATTTTCCACTGATATTTAAATAAATTTCAGCACCCCATGTAAACAATATAATGTATTTTTCCTCTGAAAGAAAGCTTAATTTTACTTTCCCAATGAAAAAACAGAAGTCTGGCCCATGTTAAGAAATGCAAATTAATCTAAGCAATACAACTTTATGTGCAAAAATTGTAGGATGGGTATAAGAAACTTTGTCCACATCCTTTATTTAGAGTAGTATGTTCCATAGTTCTCGCAACTAAAAATCGATTCTCTCACAGTGGAAATTTAAAAGGATGGGCAGCAATACTTTTTACTTTTTTGCATAAATGAGTCTGGCTATTTGAGATTATAAAGTTGAGATAGCTTGACAATTCAAAAGAGAGCAAACACTAAGAACCTTTTTTAAAAAATTATTATTATTATTATTATTTTGAGTTGGAGTCTCACTCTGTCGCCCAGACTGGAGTGCAGTGGCCGCTCCCGGCCACCGCAGCCTCGACCTGCTGGGCTACGGCGATCCTTCCTCCTCAGTCTTCCAAATAGCTGGAACTACAGGCATGTACTACCACGCCCGGCTAGTTTTTGATTTATTGTAGAGATTAGGTCTCGCCAAGTTGCCCAGGTGGGTCTCGAACCCGCAGGCTCAGGCAATCCACTCACCTCAGCCTCCCAAAGGTGCGGGATTACAGGTTGAGCCACCGAGCCTGGCTACTAAGAACCTTTAAAAGAACTCCTGTTCCATGTATATTTTGATTCTTTCATTCAAATTGCTTCCAGGATACAGAATGATAAACTATTCAAAAAATACTAGACTACTAGGAGGAGAGTCCAGGTTTGCTAGACTCAGCTTCTCATGGAAGTGCAAAAAAAAAAGTGAGCTCTCAGAGGGATGTTCTCCTGTATCACCTTTGTCTTTCTCTGTTTTCTAAATCTTTTGTGTGTAGAGTAGGGAGTAGACAAGGACAGTGAAGAGCCCAAGCATCTATCTAAGGGAGATGCTTGAACAAGTCATTTAAACTTCTTGATTCTCACTTTCTCACCTATGAAATAAGGTAGTACCAGAGCCTCTCTAGACTAACTGTTATAATAAAGTGCTGAGAAAAGTCCCTGATGCCCAGTAAGTACTGAAACAAATTGGCAGTTATCATTCCAATTTGAAATCCATTCTCAGGTGAGGCTTTAGGAATGTGCTTTGCATGGAATCCATGTCATCAATTTGTAAACACAAGTGATTCAAAAAGATTAAACAAAAAAGCGAATGAAAGAAGAAATTCAGATAATTCCAGTGCCTAAATTCCCTGATCATAAACTGACAACTTAGGAATTTGGGCTGACATTTTCAGAAGAAAGTGCTTCAAAATACATTAAGCATGTATTATATGCTTGGCATTCTGCTAAGCATTTTCATATTGTAAATGATCATATATTCCTATTATTCCATTTGGAAATGAAAAGATTGGCCAAAGTGAAATAGCCAAGAAGGAGCAGAGCAAGAATTTAAAACTCAGGTTTATACTTTTAACTAATATACTATGTTTTTCTTCAGTTTATTAGTATCCCACTGGTTTAAATCAGTGATTCTCAACTGGTTTTTAATTTAATTCACAATTCATATAAGGAGGGAATGAGCATGGTGAGTTTTAAAAGTTCATTGAGTGATTTTAATGTGTAGCCAGAGTTGTGAAACATTGGTCTAAATAAATGAGTGTGCAACACTATTTAAGACCAGAGACCAATGTAGATAGAAGAGTTAAGTCTTTCAGAGATTGCTTTCTTATTAATACAGTGTGATGGCGAAGACTGTACTCTCTTTTTCTGTGTCATTTGCTACTCTAGTTCAGTTTATCTCCTTTTCGTAAGCCACCTAACCACTTTTCTTCCCAAGGCCCAGGCTTCTCAGCTTCTCAGTCTCATTTGTGAAAATTTCTTCCACCAGTGTTCTAAGAATCGGTGCCCTGATTGCAGATCTTTTATTTCTTTTGTGCTTTCTTCGTAAAAGTGTCTGTCCTAGAGAGTCAGGGCTTCAGTGATTATCCATGTATGCCTCAAAACTTTATCTTCCTTCAAGAAAATCTAAATACACATATCCAACTTTATATTATACATTTAGCATGTGCCTGTTTATTGGCACCCCATTCTATTCCCAGTACCCATCTGTCACCTTCTTTATCTCTTATTTGTTTGTTTATCTATCACCCACCACAACTGGCCAAATAATGCACGACTGTCCTGTCGTTAGGTGCTAAGACCACCCAAAACCACAGACCTCTCTGTGCACTGCCCCTGGAATCACATGCATCTAGTCTAACTCCCATCTTTTCACGGCCTCCACAGTTTTTCCAGTTGCAAAAGTTTGAGATATCATCATGTCTTCTTATTTCTTCATTCCCTTCCCATGTAATCTTATAGAAAATGACGGAAAGCACCATGAGAACAGGTTTCAGATTTCAATCAACATTTTCTCCCCAGCAAAAACATTCTTGACACCTAGGAAGTAATTAGTGAATATTTGGTGATGAAATTGATCAATTAATGACTATAAAATATATTCTCATTCCTTTGAATGAAACCAAAGTACTAGTTCTTCTAAGACTTCTTTAGATTTGTCATATGATGAAATAATAAATAATAATAAATGAAGCATGTGCTAAGTAGTTACTATGTAGATGATGTGATAGAAATACCCACCTTGTGTTAAGTTCCTAAAGTGTATGTTTCACAGCAGCCTGTTTTCAGATAAGAAAATTAAGAAATGCCTTAGATTAAGCAAGTTGCTCAAGGTTGCATAGCCAGCAAATGGTAGAGCTATGACTTCCATTCAGGGCTTTCTGGATCCAAAACCTGCTGCTTTTTTCCACAAAGAAGGAGACAATGGATTACTCTTTCTTTACCAATTTTCTTGTCTATACAATCAGAATCAAGTCTATCAAGATTCAAAGCCTTCCCAGAACCAAGTGCTGATAGGGATCATGTCACATAGCTGGGTTTTCCCAGTACTTCACACTCTACCCAATCCATGGAAGGGAATCAGTAACGAGTGGGAAAATGTAAAGGAAAAGAACAGAAGAAAGGGAAAAGCAAAGTTGAACACATTTCTTACACTTTGCTTCTAGAATTACAACTGCCTGTTTGCGTAAGTAGAGCCAAAATGACAGATGTGTGGTGTTACGTTTTATAGGTATTAGACGATGTGATTTCAATGTGGCCAATTTGATCCACAGTCCCAGAAAATATTACAACCTCGAATAAAAGGGACTATTTCATTATTGGGCCAGTTGTGGTGGGTAAGAGACAAATATGAGCTTAAAAAATGAAAATATGGAGAAAGACAGACTTGGACACCAAAAATAAGTCTATGGGCACAAAAGGGCAGTGAGAAACCAATACATTTGTTCCAACTTGTGTGATTTATATGGAAATTTATAAGGTACAACTTCAGTGATGAACTTAATATCTTTCAAATGAAACAACTTTCACATTCAAATGAAAGCGATTGTTTTCTCTAAGGCCGTTTCTTAGTCTCTTTCTAGTCTCCATCCCAGCTCTCAATTTTTTTTTAAGAGGGGTAGGCTTCCCCATAAATATCAGAAAATCATTCAAGGATAATTTGGAATTGTCAGAACCTGATGCTTGCACCTTCGACGTTACTTTATTCCAGGATGCCATTTTAAAATGCTTAAGTGAGTTTTTTTTATATAGATAAATTGCAGCAAAGGCAAGTAATTTATTATCATTTAATATTATGAAAAAAAATCAGCAGTAAGTGTGGCTGAGCTGGGATGAGGGCACAATTCTCCAAACTTTCAGCTTCATCATGCATTTATATCAGCCCATGGAAACTTTAACATTTTCACTAAATATCTCAATGTAAAACTCAATCTCCTTATAGGCTAAAGGATTTTATTCAATAAATGAGTTTTGGTACCTCTTATATGAAGATTATTCTATTAAGTTTTTTGAGGAAAAGAAAGGGTAATAAGATATGGCTCCTGAACTAAAGAAATGTTTTTATTCTTTGTTTTTTTTGAGTTGGAGTTTCACTCCATTGCCCAGTGGCAGGCTCATGGCCACCCCAGTGTCGACCCACTGGGCTCAGGCGACCCTTCTGCCTCAGCTTTACAAGTAGCCAGAACTACAGGCGCATGCTACCACGCCTGGCTAATTGTTTTTGATTTATTGTAGAGATGAGGCCTCACAAATTTTTCCATGCTGGTCTTGAACCTGTGGGTTCAGGCAAAACATATCTATTTTGCATTGGTTTCCATCTTTCCACTATTGCTGGGATGACAGGCTGAGCCACCGAGCCCAGCCTGTTTTTATCCAGAGATAAACGTGAACATAATAAAAGCTAATATATGCATTTTATTTACAGCTATATAAACATTATATGTATTACCATTAACCAGTCTCAGAGTCTTCTTTTCAACAGATGTGATTCTTCAGGGATAAGAATGGAGACTGCTCTGGCTCAAAGAATAGGACATTTTATTGTTGTTAATTATGGGGTTTGAGTTACAAATGAATGGACATCCTCGAGTCAGAAAACAACTATTTTTTCAATAATATTTCACAGTCCCTTTTAAATGATAGCCTTCCCATTTTAATATTTAACAAAGAAAATATCATACTGCCTTTTTAAGTTTTGTGGAATTATTTACCTTGGAAAGTCTTTTATCTTTTCCTAAACTTCCAACATCTTAAGACTTTTATGTAGACAGCACTGTTATCACCACAAATGCCAAAAAATATATAGATTACATAAATAAATTGGAGCAGGGATTGCTGACCATACTTGATCACAGGAATCATCTGGGGTGTAGATGACTGAGGTTACACTTAACATATAATATTGGGATTCTATTGCTGTGTAACTATTCCTACAAATGTAGCAGATTGAAGCAACACACATTTGTTTTCTCACAGATTTTGTGGGTCTGGAATCTGAGCAGAGCTTAGCAGAATATTCTGCTTTGGGGTCTCTTACAAGGCTGCAAATCACAAGGTTGGCCTGACTGCAGTCCATTTTTGGATTGGCTGGGAATGTAGTTGCTTCTAGCCTACTTGGTTGTTGGCAGGATCCACTTCCTTACTGACTGTTGGCCAGAAGCCCCCTTCCATTTCACCTACACGGTCTTCCCCATTTGGCAACTGACTTTATCAAAGCCAGAAGAGGAGAGTCTGTGCAATCCACCAACAAGAAATGAGGCGTGGTATTTTGTAACATCATCATCGAATTGATAGTCCATTGCATTTTTCCGTGGTCTATTGGTTAGAATCAAAACTTAGGACCCATGAACACTTGTATAGAAAAGATAACACAAGAGCATGACTTTTGGGGGTGAGGACAATTAGTTGTCAAAGACTGTTCACCGCACATATTAAACCAACATACCCTGTATTGGGGTTATATTTTATAGTTCTTTGCTACCCTTTAGGTAGCTCTTATGATGAGACAGATTTTGGAAATACCAAACTAGTGGAAAGATGGAAGCCAATGCAGAATAGATATAACTTTTCAGCATTGGTCAGAATTCAGAGAAATGGGCTTCTAGATGTTGGAGTTTGTAATATTGCTTAATCCTACAGAATCATGAAAATGAAATAGTTCAGAATGCAGACTGCATCCCCAAAGCCCAAGTTACAATTCTATAAGGCACTATGGGAGTAAGTCATAAGTTATAAGAATCATAAATGTTCTCAGACTTTATTGAAGCGTATTACAAAATTTATGGAGAGGAGAGCTCATGATTGAGGAAGGTTCCACAGGCCCGTGATAGCTTAAGCTAGACCTTAATGGATGGATAAGATGAATAGAAAAAGTGAAGAAATGTGGAATGGTGTAGAAATAGAGAAGGGAAGAAGACACATGGTATAGACAGCAGCCTTCCTGTAAAGAGAGTTTCTGATGCGATGTAGATAGTGTGTATGGCTACTTAGGGAGGAAAGCAAATCTAAGTCAGAGAACCCCATGATGTAACCCATAATCACTGCAAAGATCTATGAGTGAAGGTTCCCAGTTGACACGGGCAAGAGGAACTCAAAAGGAAAGAATAGGGGATCAAAGAAGGCACTTGTTTTTGAGAAAATGGTTTTCAAAAAATGTATTCAATACATAATAGAACCAAGGACACTCATGTCCTATGTAATCAAGACATCACTGCAAAATTGTGGCAGAAATGGAGATCAGTGCCACATTTATGTAGCCGATACCTTTAATGAGTCCCTGTACCGTTTTATCTGCAGTATAATTTAAAAATGGTTGATTAATGCTTTTAAATACAAGCTAGATCACACATTGGCTAAGCATAACATTGGAATGTAAACATTTCACAGGAATCTCTGAATTTGTTTGTGTATATATCAGATGATCATAAGTGTACGATAGCATTCAAGTAACAAATCCCATAATACAAAAATTGAATAACACTATCAAAAGATAGGTTAACACTTGAGACATTAACTAAATCACCTACAGTTATCCAGTAATATTTATGTATGTGCCTGACTGGACTGGACTAGGAGAAGTAGTGTTGGACGTTTGGTGCAGTGGCAAAGGAGATCTCATCCCAGCTGTATTACCACCTGGGTCATCCTCAGCTTCATCATCTGTGAAAGGAAAGCAACACTGTGCCTGCCAAGCTCTGATTACTGTTATTACAGCAATCAAATATCATTTAGTTTTCTAACACTTTATACGTAGCGCATTTTAGACTTCCCAATACGTTTTTATTATTTAAGCATGAGCCAAAGTAAATATTGTTTATTTTCATTATTGGACGACTGAGAAAATTATACAGACTTGTTATCTCTGTGTTACATTTTTCATCATACTTTTATATCAGGGGAAACTAATAATCAGGATTTATAAGTAGCAGAAAACATGCATGTTGAAATATTTTTATTTCCAGCGGCCTATTCTGTTTTCTGATTTTGCACACCGAAACGATTATTTATCTAATCCTTGCAGTATGGGAAAAAAAGGCATCACTTGCAAAACTGAATGTTGTAATTTATGAATGGTAGATGCAGAATAGTAAAGGAAATGTGTGTGCTTGGAAGCAGAACTACAGCATGCCGTCAGTAAACTAAGCAATGTCTCATTCGTGTCCCTTTGTAGCTTACATCCTGTTTTATACCTTGGACAAGAACATCCCAATCGATGACTGGATTATGGAAACAATCAGTGGCGATCGGCTTACACATCAGATCATGGATCTCAACCTCGACACTATGTATTACTTTCGAATTCAAGCACGGAATTCGAAGGGAATGGGTCCTCTTTCGGATCCCATTCTCTTCAGGACTCTGAAAGGTTTGAATCATGTCCTATTACATCTTTTCTTTTCTTGTGGGATTGCCATAAAATAGCTTTGCGGTCCGTGTAAGAAACCACCCTACCCCAACTCTGCTGACAACGTTTGCTGTGGACATTCAAAATAAATTAAGATGTATCTTTTTATGTTCAAAGCCATCATGTCAAAGAAAGATCTATTTAACCTGACTTTCTTTTTTTCCAGTTATGATCCTTATGGAATTTTGTATTGATGTCATGTATTTGGTCCTATCCAAAATATAATGAAACATTTTAGCAATTTTATGTTAGGGAATAAAAATAAAATGCATTGAATTATGTGAATAGCATGGCATTGCCATCTTTAAATACTTTCTTTAAGGCGTTATTGACCATATACATACATATGTATATGTGTGTATACATATAATGTATATATATACGTGTGTGTGTGTATTTTTTTTTTTTTTGAGCTGGCGTCTCACTCTTTGTTGCCCAGGCTGGAGTGCAATGGCACACTCACAGTCACTGTAGCCTTGACCTGCTGGGCTTAAGCGATCCTTCCGTCTCAGCCTTCCAAGTAGCTGGAACTATAGGCCCATGCCACCGTGCCCGGCTAGGTTTTGTGATTTATTGTAAAGATGAGGTCTTACCAAGTTGCCCAGGCTGGCTTCAAACCCCCAGGATCAGGCAATCAATCGTCTCAACCCTTGGTCTCCCGCAATGCTGGGATTATAGGCTGAGCCACTGTGCCTGGCCAGCCTTTATATATTAAAGGAAATTCTTATAAGGCAAGACAGTTTCAAACAAAAGAATGCAGGTATTTTAAAAAGCCAGTGTAGAATCAATGAGAAAAATCTTGCAATATGATTACTAGGGAAAAAAAGCATTTGTACAGAAAAATACTGAGGCCTGATGATAATGATTAAATACAAATAATTTTTGTATGAAATGCTTGCTATTTTTTAGCACAGAATTTTTATATTTTTTATTAAATCCTTACTACTTTCCTGGAGAACAAATGGTTAAGAGTCTGTATGATGTAACAATTGAAAAAAATTTGGATGCTTCATAGCTGAGATTTAAAGATGCATATTTAAGGCATGATATATATTATTCTTAAAAAGAATGACTTAGTTCTCATACCTGTGACCACATTATACGTTTATATCTGACCCAAATCTTGATAGTACATGATTGCAAATAACTGAAAAATTAGAAACACATGGATGATCGGCATCTTTACCCAATTGTTTGACTTACTAAAAGAAGAATCTTAGAATAACTGTAAGTATATTCTGTTTCTCAATTATCTGAGGAAAGTTGGCCTGATAGAGGACTTCTGAATTCTGATGAGTGAGCTATTCAGGGGCTGGATTTTGGTAACAGCTAATCTGAAAGTTTGCCAAGAACACACAGACAAGCATTCAGCCTAAGTCTGCATGACAGTTCCTGATGACGGCGTAGATGTCTGGAGTGGGTGGGGAAAGAAATAAACTCATATTTTTCTATCCAGGTTGTGAGGACTTCATGTCTAAGTCAGATTTCACTCCAAATGAGCAATCAAAAGGCAACTGGTGTTTTCCTTTTGTGGGTGCATAGAATGTAACTAGATAGTGTTTTGGAAATGCTTCATTTTTATCTGTAGACGAGTGCCAAATTAATTCCATGCTCACAACGTGTGCCAACTGGGAGATCTGAGGGAGGGCTTAAGATGACTTAAGTCATCCAAGTTTGTTAAACAGCAGAGAGATGAGTTGCCACAGGTCCACACTGATAGCCATCCCGTAGATGACTGAACGAGTCCCATCTTTCCTTCGGTATTGTTTACCCTGAGTGCCCTCACCTCATCTAGAAAATGATTTTCAGAACTGAGAACAAGTTCAGGAATTTGTTCTGTGACATAATAGGCCATATAAGTTATTTCTAATACTCCGATTTGATGTCTAGTATTGTCTACCCTAAATATATCATGTTCAATGATATTCGATTCGATTTTTAAACAAATATAGCTTATATGGTAAAATGAGTTTTTGATGTTTGGGGTGCATTTTAAATTACTCAGAAATACTGATATCACCCATCTATTTTAATAATTATGCACATGCATACATCAGACATGTCAGTTACAATGACAAATGTTCTAGGACAAGTAAATGACTCATTGTAAGAGATTTAAAGCCACAATGAACCAAATCTATACCACAGAGATAAAATATTGCTATGGATTTCCAATTTAAGATTTTCTATTCCCAAACCTGCTTCAAAACATCAGGTCTCTGCTCATCAGAATGTAACTTTCTTTGACAGAGAGAAAGGCTTAGATGTTGTCCTAAAGCTTAGGAAACCCCCAATAGTCTACTGGGTAATAGGCAAGTGTTTCATTGCAAATCTTGCCCCAGGCAGGTGTCCACAAGCTTCATTCTTTCATACTCAGTCTTTACCAAGATAGCAGTATTTCCTACTGTAGACTAGAATTTTGTTTTTTGGTATTAGCAACCAATCAGAGAGGTACAGGAAACTTAGTCTGGAATACTGGTTCATTAAAAGGACATTTATAATTAGAAAGGGGTTGTCTTACTATAAATGCATTTACACACATAGATGTGATTTATTCAATTCTTTATTTGGAATGTTAAATAAAATAATCTGTAACTTGAGGTTCTGACCACATAAGACTCCACAAATACTCACCTCCTTTCCACAAATCTTCCCCAGGCTGCCATTAGTATACCCACACACTGTCAAATCATTGGAAGACTTATGTATTTCTCTGCCCTGTCTCAAGGGTTGTTCAGGTCAATAAAATACACTGTTCCATGTTGACCTATCAAGTAACAGAGAGGAAGGATGCCCCCCATGGAGTGGGCCACAGAGGATTCTGGTGTAGGGAGGGAGTTACACCTACACAATAATAAGCAGTCTTTAGACTGAAAGCCCAATGGAACATGACCAATTTTCTGGGCATCCTTAATCATCATTCCAAAATATGCCTCTCACCATCCAAGAATATGTCGCTGAAAACGTTGGACCAGAATAGAAAAAGGTATTGAAAATTATTTTATGATAAAATACATGATATTTTTGACAAGCAATAGGAATAATTAAAAATTTGAGATGCAAACTGCAATACTTTTAAGTCCTTTTGGGGGTCTTAAATACAATGTAGCTATGATAATTCATTTGGTCCCTGTTGGGAAATAGTTTTCAGTAGATAACCATTCTTGAGACATTAAAAATTTGTCAAATTATATTCAATCCAGTTTTGCTAACAAAAACAAATCCAGATAAGAATGGAATTGTTTGCCATAACATATAGTTATTTGTTGCTTGCTAAAAATATCATAGACGGCAGACAATCCATGTGTATGATTAAAGCTTAGGGAGAGATGGAGAATGGACACGAGATGAGGTCAGTATTCTGCTCTTTTTAAGGTATAATTCCAAATAGTTCTCCCCTAAATATAGGATGGTAATTAGGATAGTTTCTCAAGTGTGTCCCGTTCTGGATACCAAACCTGTATACTTCCTAGATTGAGTGGCCACTAATGACCCTAACAAATCCTGTGTCATTCTTGCTGGAGACCTGATATGACACTCCTGACAGCATAGTTTCCTTTCTCTAAAAATCGATGTTAGGATTTCAGTTCAAAATCCTATCCCAGTTCATAAACTACATTTAATGCAATTGTCTACCAAAAACGCCTCTATCAACAATCCCCTAATTCTAAACTATAATATACTTTGAGAAGTCACTAATTTTCAATGGGAGATAGAAGAGAAAATCTAGATAAGAATTAAATTGTGGTGGTTGAAATATAAAAGATTAGATTAGATGGTCTGGTGAATTGAAACAAAACGTTTCTTAAATCTTGCAAGAGTACAAAGATATTTATAAAACTTATTTAAAGCTTACTGACAAAAAAACAAAAATTCTAGTCTACAGTAGGAACCACTAGACAATCAGGGAGCTTCAAGATAAGTGAGATCTGCAGATCTACTCTATAGCATAGTTCCTATAGATAAAACTCTGTATTGTGAACTTAAAATGTACTAAGAGGGTAGATCTTAAATTGTGTTCTTACAATATTAATAATAATAACAATAATAATAAAGAGGGTAAGAGATTATGGATCTGTCTACAGACTTCATGGTGAGGATGGCTTCATGAGTATATCCTTATTCCCAAACTCATAAGGATGTATACATTAAATATGTACAGCTTTTTACTTATCAATTATATCTCACGAACATCTCAAAAAAGTAAAGCTTGTAGAACTGTAATATAATAAGCATTTTTGTGTATTTATCATACATACACACACACTCTATTTATAGAGAGAGAGAGAGAGAGAGAGAGAGAGAGAGAGAGTGTGTGTGTGTGTGTGTGTGTGTGATTTTCCAAAGTATAATTCAGGGTTGTCTCCTACTTATTAAGGTATCTTATTATAGAATGTCTATATATTATTTTAAAAGGAAAGAAATTATAATAGATCTCTGGTTTAGAAATCTGTCTTATTCTGTACAAGACATGAACCCTATTCATTAGAAAGGAGCTTTTGTTAACAGCATCATTAAGTATTTCAATACCAAACATTGTTTCCAGGTAACAACGTGTGCTCCCTCATTTAGAAAAGGAAGCATCACTACCTGTGCGACATTTTCTTTAAGTTATTTTTCAAACAATGATGATGGATTTCCTATGAGATTGCTACACACAATAAGATAACAATGTTATATGTTGCTGCCTATTATGTTGTTCTCTGTATGTTTAATTGAAACATACATAAGAAACAAACCAGCAAGAGTTGTATCCAACCTATCAAGTCTGAGTACAATTAAGTGACTTAAATATGCCCAGAAGACTCAAAGCTCAAAAATAATCAAGTATAAGTACAATAATTCTAATTAATGAAGGCTTATACAGATCTGCATTTGTCAAATGTCATATCCTGTTTTCTAGAAATTCAGTAATACTAGAGATTGCCTTCTACTTAATTTCATTTGGTTAGCAGAAAAGAAGCCACTTTAAAAAATAGAGATATTTCAATTTATCACCCATGAGGTACAATGTTCACTCTGGAGAGTGGGCCACCTGAAACCCAATCCCCACCACTGTGCAAGATGTCCAAGTGGCGAACTTGCATGTGGACCCCTTGAATCCAAAATAAAAAGGGTTTTTATTATTTTAAGACCATTACTCATAACTCTTCAGAAGTTGTGACAACTTAAGAGTTATCTTCACGAGTTCTAAAGATTTATCAACCTATTTACATTATACCATACCATATTTGTCGTATCTCACTATTTCACCCAATCCATGTGCAAATTGACTAAGTTTTCTTGTTGAAAAAACCACATACAAGACAATAACTTTCTGAACTTACTTAAAATATAGATGGGTGATAATTACTTGGGAATTACATTTTTTTTACTGTTAATTCTAGTTTTAAAGTTACATGATGATCATTCTGAATTTATGTTTTGAGGGATATGAAAAATGAAATATTTTAGAATGCATTTTACAGAAAATATATTATTTTAAATTTTTTCTAAGTACTTATTTAATAGAAATAATCACATATAACTTTAGGTCCTTATTGATTTCTTTCACTAGGACATTACCTTCATGTGAAAACCTGCTAACAAAACTGTTGGCTTGATATGTCAGCTTTCTTGCTAGGAACTGTCAAAGTCTAATCATGTTATTTTTTTCTCCCACAGTGGAACACCCTGACAAAATGGCTAATGACCAAGGTATGGTGGTTCAATCTGTCATTCTGTGCTCCTTGAATCAATGCTATCTGTTGACGATGTCAATCATTACTTTGTATTCCTCTTTTCACCTGGTCCATACACCTGATGAAGCAGACATTGGCAGATGATTAATCTAGTTAATGAAGTTCTGCTTGGCTGAGGCTGCGGCTCTGATAAGGAAGATGTAAATTTTCTTGAGAGGAAATTGTTTTGTCTCTGTTCTGAAGGACCAATTAAAATGTCAAGCTTCTTTGTATGAAATAAATTTTTAGTCTCTGTCTGAACTTCTGAATAATTCACATTAAGTATAATTAAGCTCAGCATAATTTTCAAGCTGCTCTTGCACCCTTTTGTGAAGTATCAAGCTCTCGAGTTCTACAGAGAAAAGTCATAAATTATGTGTGTTTTTCATCCACAATGAGCTTCTACTAGTAAATAAAAATAAAGTTGGGCTAACTTTTGGGAGGCATTATCATTGTTCATTTTGAAGCCAGAAGAATTTCATTTCATGAATCAGATACTGGTATTTTTCCTCTTTTTTATTATTATTTTTTTTTCTTAAAAAGCTGATTTGTGTAGAGAAGCATGGATGGCCTTACACAAAGGAAAAACAGATATAAGAGTTACCCATCAACTTATAGGTAGATATGAATTTGCTATTACCAAATTTTTGGAAAGATCAATAAATTAGGATTCCATGATCTTTACACAAAAGAAAATTAATAGACTGCTGTGGATTTAAAAAATAGTTTATAAGTTTTATTTTTTCAGGGAGTTATTTTCTTTTCAGGGGGAGTTACGGAATGCTAGAAACTGGTTGTAGTCAGTGTTGTCAGGATTTGTTGATTCAGAGCCTACAACGTGTGCAATTTACCACCTGCTTTAAATATCCCCTGTTGGCCAGAACTTACTTGAAAACATCATGTTGTGAGATTAGGGGATAAGACATCATGTTGTGAGATTAGGGGAAAACATTATTTTCAACATGATTTTTTTTTAACTTTTGACAAATACTGAGCCTCTGAATGTTGGCTCCCACTAACAATAGAAGGCTGCCTATGTGAGCAATATTTTCTTCAATGATCAGGGTTTTCCCTGGGTCCTCATACCACACCTCTGCTTAACAGAACATGGCTGCAGGATTACATAGAATTATAGAAATTATACTGTGCACAGACATTTCTACCTAAAGTTAAGATTCCCATTAATCTAGCCACTCCTGCTTGGTTCTGCTTAAAATGTTTTCATAAGCACTATATCTAATAAGTAGTAATGTTTGTAAAAATATAATGATGAGTAATTGTCACTTGGCATATATTTATTTAGGTAAATTAAATATTAGTATTGGCCAAATCCGAACCCAGAAGAATTAATAGAAAATTTTTAATTGTTTTAGTTATAAAGTAATCAAAAATTAACTTTCTTTACTTACTTGAATTTGAAGCTACCATAGACAAATAACTCCTAATTTCTGAAGGAAATATCCCAGAGAGAGGGGAAAAATGAAAAGTATTTAAAGAGTAACTGAAACAGTTGAAATGTTGCATTATTAGCCACTCAAGTGGCAACATGCCCAGGCTTCTCAATAAATGGATTTCTACTTCTCTCTGGACACCTTTCTAATTGATTTCCTTTTTTATTCTTATTTTTTACATTACCTGTTATTTTTTATATTAGTTTAGGGTACCAAAAGTATATTTTGCGAATTGTCATTTTATAAAAGACTAATGAATACGTTATTCCGCAGTCCTTCTGATCACATATCTTTTATGGAGGATTTTACTCTGATTCTCACATCTACAGTGAAATCAGTTCAGTTATCAGGGAACAAAAGGAATTCCCAAGAGTTATTGCCAGTGACTTAGTCTGTTAATATATTTGTTCAGTTGTTCTTTTTCTTCATCTAGTATTACTTAGAGAGATTCTGTCACATATTATGCAAGTTGGTGCCTTATTCAGTCAGAGCTGGCATACAGTTGATCAAGCTGATATGTTATAAATTTTACATCACACTCAAATCACTTGTAAAATTGAGAGGGACTAATGACATATAATTTACTGGTTATAAATAGTAACTTTAAATTCTTACAAAGAAAGCGTATGAATTTGGCTGCACCCTAAAGGTGCTTTAAAAACAAAATCAGTTGACTGAGTTGATGACCATGAGAATGAGAAATAATCCAGATTAAAGATCTCTCTAAGACTGATGAAATAATTTAAAAAAAGAATTTTCTTAACACTCCCATTCCCAGCACATAGTAAATTAGATGAATATGTTTTATTGTGTCAACTGTTAGACCTATTCGCTCCCTTCTCATAGAGAAATGATCCCACTGTTCCATTTATGATAGGAACTGGATTTCTGCTGAGAGAAAATTTCCTTTGGGAGAAAATTTGGCACCTTGGGTCAGATTCAACCTTACAAAGATGAATCTCAAATAAAGAGGCAGGAGATTGAATTTGACTTATACGACAGAAAGTGAGAAAAGTTTTGATTCTTCAAAAAACTTTTTTAGACTCTTGTTATTTTTATTATTATTATTGAAGTCTAAGATTTACCATGAAGAACGTAAATGTGAAAGCAAGCTGTCAGTTATATTTGGATTAGTTTTGATTTGGGAAAGACATTTTCTCCTGAGCAATAGTAATAGTAGTTTGACAATGACAGGCAATTAACATAGAACTCTTTAATTGTTTTATGTAATTGTAAATTCATTATATCTAGCATTTTTTAAGCTTTCTAATCTTGACCTTCTCTTAACCCCCCTTTTTCAACCCTCTTTTCTCTTGCTCCATGTCTTGATTATTTCTGCAGATTCTTCTAGGCACAGATGACCAATGAGTTTAGAAATAATTGAGATTTTAGAGGTCAACAAAATAATTTAAATTTTGGGAGAGTCTAGCTGAATAGGAAACTTGCACAGGCTTTGTGACACAGGTCAGAAAGATAGGAAATCTCTGCTTTTGATTTTTTTCTTTTCCATATTTTGATTAAAACTCTCTTAATTTGTCTATGTCGGCGAGGGCCTGTATAATGGCAAAAAAGCAAACAAACAAAAAACAACCCTGGTGGTTCTCACTACTAGTCACTGTTGTAAGAGATTTACATAATGGACTCACTTAATTCTGATAACAATAATGTGAGAAAGGTACTGTTATTAACTTCATTTAACAAGAAAGAAACTGAGGTCAGACAGTGTAAGTTACTTGCCTGTAGAAGCACAGCAAGTAAGGAGAGAGGCCATGATTTCAACCCAATAAACCATGTTCCAATAGCCCTGTTTTTGACTGTCAAGTGCATTCATCACATGTTATGTTACATATATGCATACATAGCCATATATGCACATTTGACATGTATCTATAAAGTCGCTACATCTAAGTTTTTATACCGATATTTTCCTAATATAGACCTTCCTTTTCCCAACTCTGTGAATATTCTAAAGAACACAGCAAATAATTTTCAATCTGGGGTCATCTTCTTAGTCAGTGGTGTGGGGGTTGCCGCAACACACAGGATTTAATATATAATCTATAAGATCCTGACACTTCTTTATTTCAGGAAACAGGAATTATGTTAATCAACTATCTTAACCAGCTTGAGTTGGTCATGTAAACTACTATAGAGGATGCCAAAAAATGTATGCACACTTTAAGAAAGGAAAAAGCTGTCTTAAAATTGTAATAGTCGATATATACTGATAACAAAATATGAAAACAAGTAACATTTGACTTCTGCAGTTACAAGAGGTGTTCAAAGTGGTTGCCATCAGCATCCAAATACTTCTGATTACAGTGAACTAAAAGTTATACACAGATAACATCTCTTAAAATGTGTATACATTTTCTTGGCACCCCCAGTGTCTGCTGGGTGGGTTAAACAACAGAAAAAATTTTTCATAGATCTTGGGCTGAAGGTCTCACATCAAGGCTTTAGCAGGGTCAGTTTTTAGTGAGGGTTTTCTTCCTGGCTTGTAGTTGGCCTCCTCCTAACAAAGTCTTCCCATGGTAGAGAGAGAATGAGCTTTCTGGTGTCTCCTCTTAAAAGGACACAAGACTATTGATCAGGCTCCTACTTCATGACTTTATTTAACCTTAATTACTTTCTTAAAAACCCTATATCCAAATATAGTCACCTTGGGTGTTAGGGACTCAATGTAGGAATGTTGGGGGGTCCACAGTTCAGTCGACGTTCAAAAGAAAGACTGCTCTTTCACTCCTTCGCTAATTATCTTCTCAGCTTCCCAGTCAAAGAAAAGCTAAAAGGAAGTGTTTTGCCCAAGGTCACACAAAGAGTTGTTGGCAGAGATAGAACCCACAACGTTTCTTTCTGACTTCCAGACTCTACGGTTTTTCTACTGTAAAATGCCACTATCCTTATAAAACATTTGGATTTTTGTTTCTCTAAAATCGGCTTATGCTGTTTAGAGAACCTCACAAAAGTATTTTAAGTGTTTTAGAGTTGCAGTTCGAGCTTCGCTGTGACTATAACATATGATCACTTCTTAAAAGCGATTATTAGATCACACTTTTAATCCTAAGGGATTATCTTTTTTTGCATTTTTATATGCCATTTAACCTTGAAGTATTTTTCTCCTCTTGGAGATGTGTACGTGTGAACATGGGTCGTCTTAGCACGAGCACAGGTGTGTTGCAATTTCAAGTGTGTTTCTGTACCTGCCCATTGTGGCAATAGAATAAATGCTATAGCAAAGATACCGCACCTTAAAGAGGACAGGGATTCTTGTGACATGATCTGTGTCATTGCTGAGATGAATTACAAAGGAAACGCCCACTCCGAGCCCTTTCAAGTGTCTTTAATTCTCCATGGCTTGGTGGCGGGGTGATCTGAAACCCGGGGTCTAGAGGAGAGGCGTACATTCGCAGATCAGTGCATAGGTCCAGATGAGGAAGGCCTGTTGCAGACTGCCCATCAGCAGTGAGGGAGGGTGCAGGATTCTGGTGCCGGCTGAGAATGTTCTAGCTTTTCCCATGGGCGT